CCGTCGGATCGTGGCGTATCCCATACCATTGATTTGGAGCCCGGACATTCTCCACCTTGCCGCCCTCCATACCAACTCTCGGTCCCCGAAGCCGAAGAAATGAAGCGGCAACTCAATGAGCTCCTTGAAAAAGGGTTCATTAAGTCGAGTTCATCTCCCTTCGGTACTAGCTGCCTTTTTGTAAAGAAAGGTGGAACTTCGGAACTCCGCATGTGCACAGACTACCGCGCCTTGAACCGGATCACGATTAAGAACAAGTACCCCTTGCCTCGGATCTCCAAGCTCCTTGATCGACTTCGTGGAGCCAAATATTTCGCTAAGATTGACCTTCGCAGTGGCTTCCACCAGATCCGTATCCGCGAGGAGGACACCCATAAAACCGCATTCCGCTCTCGGTTCGGGCACTATGAGCTCCTCGTAATGCCTTTCGGACTCACCAATTCCCCCGCCACATTCCAATCCACCATGAATCACATCTTCCGTGACCTCGTCGAAGTCTGTGTCGTCGTGTACCTTGATGACATCCTCATCTTTAGCCCCACCTTCAAGTCCCACCTCCAGCATATTCGCCAAGTCCTCTCGATCCTCCGAGAGCAGACATTCTACGCCAAGCTCAGCAAATGTACATTTGCCGCTTCGAGCATCAAATACCTCGACCACATTGTCTCCGCTGAAGGCATCGGTATGGACCCCTCGAAGGTCACAACCCTCGTCTAGTACCCCCTGCCCAAGACCCTCCTCCAACTCCGTTCCTTCCTCGACCTTGCCAACTATTACCACCCGTTCATTCGCAACTTTTCTGAGATCTCTTACCCTCTCCACGAACTCACCCGCAAGGACGAGCCCTTCAATTGGAATGATCGCCGCCAACACGCTTTCGACTTACTCAAGCAAACCATCACCACGACCCTTGTCCTCAAGATCGCCGACCCCACTCGCCATTTCTATGTCACCATTGACGCCTCCGACTTCGCCATTGGAGCTGTACTGTCCCAACATTTCCCCCGCGACACCACCGAGACCCCCTCCATCAAGGACTCGCCCACTCACCTCGAGGCTCCACCCGGCGAATACCCCATCGCCTTCGCAAGCAAGAAGTTGCTTCCCGCTGAGATGAATTACCCTTCCAACAAGAAGGAACTCCTCGCCGTGATTCACGCCCTCACAGTCTGGCGCCCGTACCTCGACGGGCAATACTTCACCATCCGCACTCCTCCATCCTCTCCAAGAAAGATATCACTCCACGCCAACCCCGCTGGCTAGACTTCCTTGCCCAGTTCAGATTCACCATTTGCCATACCCTCGGCAAAAGCAACCGCGTTGCGGATGCCCTCTCTCGACGACCCGACCACAAGCCCCCTGAGAAAGTCTACACCGCCATGACTCATATCCAACTCCTCCCATCACTCCATCACCGATACACCCAAGGCTACCTCTCTTGCCCAGACTTCGCCACCATCTACAACAAGCTCCGCGATCTTGACCCAGTCCCCGACTACTCCCTTCACGACAACCTTCTCTACATCGGTACCAAAGGCCACTCGCCGACTTTGCATCCCCGACGCACGTGGTCTCCGTACTCAACTCTTGGCCGAGCACCACGACGCCAAGACCGCAGGACTCCTCGGTTTCCAAAGAACCTTGTATACCATTTCCCACTATTTCTACTGGCCTTCCTTGCTAGCCGACGTCAAAGCATGCATTCGCTCATGCCCCACGTGTCAAGTTGTCAACCCCTTGAACCGGGCCAAACCCGGCAAGCTCCAATTATTGCCCATCCCAACTCACCGGTGGCAGTCCATCTCCATGGACTTCGTGTGTGGCCTCCCCAAGACCGACCGCGGGCATGATTGCATCTATGTTATTGTCTACCGCTTGACCAAATGTGCCCACTTCATCCCTTGCACGACTTTGCACAGTGCCAAAGACGTTGCCACCCTCTTCTTCGATCATGTTGCGCGTCATCACGGCCTCCCCGAGAACATCATCAGTGACCGTGATCCCTGCTTCCTCTCACAATTATGGAAACACCTCTTCAAAGCATATGGAACCACGCTCAAGTATAGCACTGCATTCCACCCCCAGACCGATGGACAAACCGAGAAGATGAACGATACTCTCCAAAGAATCGTGCGGAAGTATTTTCATCCACACCAACACGACTTGGACCAGTTGCTCACAACCGCCGAGATCACCTGTAACAACGCCCTCTGCCCTTCCACTGGCATGTCCCCGTTCTACCTCGACCTTGGCTACTGTCCTCGCTTGCCCTCTGACTTCCTGCTTCCCTCGCAGCTCAACCCCTCCACACCCTGCCCTTCTCTCAATGAATGGGTAGCAACAATGAATCGACTCCTCAGAGAAGCAACCGAAGCCCTTGAAACAACACAAGAACAACAAGCCAACAAGAGTAACAAACATAGACGTGTCGTGTCATTCAATGTAGGGGACAAAGTCTGGCTTTCCGCCAAACGCTTTGAACCCGAACACGGCTTGTCCAAGAAACTCTTGAACAAGTGGCTCGGACCCTTCCTCATCCTTGAACAAACCTCCCCCGTCAACTACAAACTCCAACTCCCGCCTGACATGAATCGTGTCCACCCTGTCTTCCACATAGGATACCTAAAAGAATACCATGAATCCCCACCCCAATTCGCTGACCGCCCATATCCTAGACCTCCACCAATCATGTTACCCACAGGCCCTGAATTCGTCGTTGAAGCCATCATAGGACGTAGAACTACCTAGGTATCTGACCACCCTGAACCAATCACATAATACAAAGTTAAATGGACAGGATACGCTGACGAAGAATCCACATGGGAACCTCTCGCTAACCTTAAGAATGCTATGAAACTTGTTCTCGCCTATGATCGTGCTCACCCTATATCGTAGATACATAATATAACTCAAACCCTAAACCCTTGCATAAACCCCGCCCTAACCCCGCATTCCTGCCCTACACACACCCCTGCCCCCAACAAAGCCCTTGCCCCTTGACCTCCCTCTGTCTGATCCGCTCTTGCCTCCGTGTCGCCCCCTTCTCCATCTGTCCTCTGCCACATCCTTGTCTCTCTTGTCCAAGTTCTGGCCCCTGCGCGTCGCCGACGATAATGGTCTAATGGCAAGCGCACGGGGACGATGGCATGCTGCAACTCAGTACAGCTGGTTGGCCACCATGCTGTTCCCTTTGTCCGGCACCTTGGACTCGCAGACTTCTGGAGCAGCACCTCTGACAGGGACATCAAGATTAGTCTGCGACCTGCTATCCGGATCAGACCTCAGCACCAGATCCGAGTACTGGACGCATCCTGCTACTGGGACATTCAAGCTGAAGCTCTCGCCATCCACATCACAGACCTGCTGAAGACTGCTTTCTCACCGACACTTCCGCGACACCTTTCAAGACCTGTTCTCAAGACATCTACATGGACTGCTACACAGAACTTTCAACCTGTACCACAAAATCCCCGACCCTCAGCAACCCCGCCCCGTACATCACAAGCCAAATTTCCTTTTTTTTTTTAGGACCACATAACCTGTTTTGCCTTGAACCTCCTAGTTCATCAGTAGAATTACCTTGTTTCCCCGTTGTTTCCAACCCCTTAGTTCATCAATAGGATTACCCTGTTCCCTGTGCTTCCCAGCCCCCTTAGCACATTAGTAGAACTATCTTGATTCCTACAAAACCACTTAGCTCGTTGGTAGTATTACCCTGTTCCCCGTGCTTCCCAGCCCCCTGCAAAACCCCTTAGCTCGTGTGGAGGCACTAAGTCGGCGGCGCTAAGTGAAGGCAGGCACGACCGAGGCCCTACAGGGTACAGGCCATTTCGGAGGTCACCACGCAACTGGGGAAATTCAGGCAGTTGTGCAGCACTAGTCGGTTGGAAGCACCCAGGCCCGGTCTGCCTTTCATTGCAATGTAACTAAGGCAGGCCCTGGGCTGGATACACAAAGTGGATCGAACAAAGGCTGAGGGCAGTTGGGTGCTGGTAACCGCCTCAGGCCCTGGGCGTGTTTCTTTCGGACTGAAGCTCAGCCTCCCTGGGCCTACTGGAAGCTTTTGGGTCGGGGCACAGTACCGCAGCACAGCACGCAGCAGCAGGCCACTTCGATATAGGGAAGGGCATCCCCACGCATTGGACATTCGGGCACTGGCTGCTTTGTGCGCAAGCGCTGCTGCGCTATCGCCTGCCAGGCTCACGCGCTCACGGGCGAGCTGGAAGGAGCAGGCAGCCATAACCGACCTGCGCTGCTGTATGCTGGATGGGGCGCATGGTGATCCTTGGGTGCAAGTGGCATCTGTGAGTTGGGGAACGAGGTTGTGAGTGATACGAGAGACATACCTGGTACTTGACCCGTGTGGCATTGGCCGAGGTCTGCTCGTACTTGGGAAGCTGTTGACGTCATCAGCGGCATTGTAGTCTAGGCTAGATAGGATCTGCCATTCATAGTCTGGGCGCCGAGCGCCAGATAGGATATCAACATTGGTTCTTCGATTGATGATGATGAGACTATTCCAGCATTGGTGTGCTCTTATTTGGTGGAACTCGTGATGCAATTCTGCTTTTGGTTCGAGGTCACGACTATCTGGTCTCATGTGTATGATGCTGTTTGATTGCTGAAGTTCGTCGTTGCTCATCTTCCTTGCAATTTGGTATCGGAGTTGTGGTTTGGTGCGCTAATCTGGCGCTTATCTTCTGCCTAATGTGGTTCATGCACACGGTGTGTACGGTGAGCGACCGTGTCGTGGGACGTGTGTAGCGAGGAGGGCGAAGATAAGTGGCGACCCAGGAGGTGAGGAGTATCGCCAAGAAGGCTGTGTGGTGATTATTGGGTGTTCGCAGTGTGATGAGAACTATCCGGTGTGTGATTGATGATGAGGTGGAACAGTTGTGCAATGCTGGTTGTGCCGAAGCAGCGATTGGTCATCACAATCAACATCGGGTCATCTGGTGAGAATATATGTCGTTGGGGGCAGCTATTTTGAGGTACGTTGCACCTAACCGTATCTACCCTCTTCGACACTTCTTACCGTGAGGATGTGTGTTATGTCTTGAGAGTCCTCTCATGTGAGGAGTCGTGTGCGCTCAACCTTGAGAGTCGCCAGCCTTCACGTGGAGCATCTGGAAGGAGAGGGCGGAGCTATCTGAAGGGCCCTGGACGAAGCATTGGGTCACGGTCACCATGCCAACCCACCGGGAGTAGAGCACGCATGCTCTGCTGCTTTGTCCTTTGTCTGCTCGCTGCGCTGTAGAGGGGTTCTGAAGGGCAGGCCAGCCCTAGGGAACAGACGAGACCGGGTGTCTATAAATAAGCACCGGCGGGATACCTTCCATTGGCTGTGATCGTCGTCCTGTTTGCGATGTTAAAGAATTCCTGAGGACTTCGGGGGCCATCCATAAAAACGCCTCATGATCAGCCAATCGGTCGGTGTAAGGCTCGCTGCACGTGAGGATAAATACGGTGCAGGGCTGGCCACAGCTCAGCAGGACTCGGGGCATAGAGGTGGGCCGTGTGCACACCTTCAGACACGCATCTATCTGGATCGCTCAGGGACGGTGACGACAAGAGACATTCAAGAAGAATTGAGGGAGGGGTAGATTCAAGGTGATAAGTTCGGGAAAGATCCCATTCTGCAAGCAGACCCAACAAACGATTTTGTTTTTATTTTGATTAGTTAGATGGACAACCATTAACATCTGACAGACAACATTAGTTAGAGCTGTTTTCTGTTCCTTGTGCTTCTGTTTGCGGATTAGTCAAAGTAAAATAGTTTTTGTTTGTAGGAATCTGAACTTACATGTTGGACCCGAATGTATAGTCTCTGACATAGCCGCCGATTATTTATTTTATTTTATTATAAATCGGTCTGTACATGTCGCTGCGGTTGGCATCGATTGTGTGTCCTAGTGCAGACGGTGTGCAATCTGTAGCATATGAGCGATAGGGACACCACTAGTGAGGACGACCGGATCTTGCGATCGGCTAGACGCCCGATAGCCCACTTGGCCTTAGGACCAGAGGGTGACAAATTTATGTTCC